TTTGGGGCTTTGCTAAACGCTACACATCCATATAGAAATGACGGACGAATTATATTATATTAACATAAAAAAAATTGATTTATAAAATCTTCGTTCATGGTTCGTTTGCTATGCAAATTTATTACAGTCGTAAAGAGGCTAAGAATATTCTCGAGGTAACGCCTGCCCTAAGACTGGACTAAAACCGAATAGGCGCCACCCAATACCGTTTGGAGCATACAAATAAAAAGTGTTGAATGAGTTTTATTTCCGGTATCCGAAATAGATGTATATAGTATCCTGGTGAATACTACCATCAAACTACCACCGTGATGCTAAACCCTTTAGGCTCTTAAGGCATGTTGAGAAGCGAATTGCTTGTAAATGAATAAACACTACGATTTGTACGGATACTTGATAGGGTTCGTTGTTGAAACTCGTCCTTTTACATATTTTTTTAACTCTTTTTTTTTTTAAATAAAATTGATAGAAAAAAAGTTGAAATAATTCGGATATTATAAAGGTTGTTTTGATTAATATTCTATAACATTTAAATATGTTAATACTAGCAGTTAAGACCGGATTTAGTTGCTACCCAAATCAACTATTTAAAACAAGGTATTAAATTAATTCGGAGAAAAAATAGACATTTTAGAAGTAGTGAATATTTCTTAAGAATTTTCAGTTATAGATATATAACAAGGAGGATTTATGGTTTTTTTGATCTCCTATAGTATCGATGGCTTTTGAACCTATAGTATCGATGGTTTGTTATTCCGATTCAAAGTTGATCTTATAAGTTAGTTATCTGTTTGCCTACACAAATAATCGTAATTATATGGCTTTAATATAGGTCCCACTTATCATCAAAAAATTTACTCATATCTTTAAGACTAAATGTTTATTGAACTGATAAATAATAGTTAAGTATTGGAGATCTGATAGTAAAATTTTGTTTATGTTTGAAAAACATTTTGACCGAATTAAATATCTTTAATTCATATTATACTTTTCTGGTACGTGAAGTTTAACATACCCAGTGAAATCTTCTTCTCATTATATAACAACTACTAAGTTTATCACTACATACGTGGAGTAAATGGAGTAGGCTAATACTTATTTACCAATTTTGATGGCAGATATAGTAATTACAGATCATTAAAGAAAACACTAGTAGATTACTTTTGTATTCGTTAAGTGGCATTAAATACTTTGATCAGATTTTTTATACTATTTAAAAAGTTTCACGAAAGATGAAAAATACTTAATAGTCTCTCTCAATTTCTAAGTTTTAACAGAGTTTCTTGTACTATTCCGAAACAGTCACATTATTATTAAATGTTCCAATAATATCTATATGGATATATGTCACAAATATTAATAAGAAAGCGCGCCATTTTCGTTTTTCTGTTAAATACATACTTTTCAACAGCTATCAGTATACTGATCTGACATTATATTTATATTATGAGTTATTTATTTATTCACAGTACTGATGTATATATCAATAACATACATAAAAATTTTAAATACTTTAAAATTTAAATACTCTAAAATTTGATTACAGTTGTTTAAAATTACCTGATCGAAAGAAGTCAATATAGCTTTACTCCCAGCTTTACTTAATATTATATTGCCTATAATTTCTTAAATTTAATCATAAAATACCCATCCTTGATGACTTCAAAAGTTGACACCAATGTACGATTAAATAGTTAATTTGAAGGATTGTGGGAGGTATATGCCCACAATAAAAGACTCATCGATGTATGAAATTCAAAGTGAATTAATCTCGAGCGACAGTGAATTTTCACTTTAAATTTTCACATTTTCCTTCAATTTATCGAAAAAGTTTCATAACCATGCAGCATGGATGAAATATCCAAAATATAGAAGAAAAAAGGAAAATAAGATTTTTGGAACATATTCTCACAATTTATGATTTGCTGGTAGTAATTCATTTCGCTATACTCACTAATCCGCCGGGAGGAACCCTTGCCGGCAGACGTGCAGATTGATGGCATCAGGCTTTGGTCGCAGTTGAATGTAGCTTGTTTTACAGTTGAGTGCATCTGAATGTAGACTAATGGCATTTTGTTGATTTTTTACGATATCAATGAGATTTCAAAGAATAAACGAGTAATGAATTTCTAACGCAATTGAAATACGGTTACAGTTTTCTTTTTTTTCCATTTTTGAGGACGTATGTCTTGCATGTGGCATTGCGTGACATACTCTCGCTTCTTGGCTTTCATGGTAAATGAATTGGATCGGTTTTTTTATTCGAGTTGTCTTTAATGCCCTTTTTTATTATACACTGTGGACTTGTAAAAGTTTTTCTATGTAAATATAGTTGGCCTTTGACATACGCCTTTTACCCATATACGAGTGCAATATTTCTATTATGTCCAATAATTATAGTTGAAAGTTAAAATTTAAGTATACATAATTTAAGTAATACTCCGTTGAATTTGCCTGTGAGTTTTCTCACTTCTCTTGAACCGACTACTTACTCCTTTTGATGTACGTCAGGCATTGCATATATGTAAGTATTTCTAATGATTGTTGAATCCTGCTGGCATTCTATTTCCGAAGTACCACGTTTGCTTCTATAGTTCCACCATTTTCATAAAATCCATTTTTATGTTTTAGTATACAATTCGCTAGGACAAAGTTTATTGTTACTTTTGTAAAAATAGACGTTTAAAGTTTGTCACTAGTTTTCTTTTCTTTAGTATGAATAACTACGCTGATGAAGTAGGAAGTCCATTTTCTGTGATTTCTTTATTGTAAAACTTTTTCTTACAAGAAATACAAGAATTTTATAAATTTTTACAGGGTACCTCACTTAACAAAATTTTAAATATATATTATATCATAAATACAACTAATTTAGACTACAGAGGCACTTTCAGTATATATTCATGGTGTTATTGCAAATTATAAAATACTTTCTTAACATTTTAGACATTTTAAGTATTATAATTAAAATATATTAAAAATCATATAGGTTAGGTTCCTCAAAAAGGAAACTCTTAAATGGATTAACAAAGCAGATGTGAGGCACTTTCATTATTCTCTTCACAACAGTAACCGGAATGGTTAAACGGGTGATTTAATCTTCAAGCATGGTTCCGTAATCGGATATGACCTGTTAATAAATCTACGGCAAGACTGATATTTTTATGGGGCATCTCAGTGAGAGTACTAAATATTTTATTAAAAAAACGTCACCAACTTGCACACAAATGCCTACTTATCTTTGCATTCTTCGGAGCTTTTCCACCTTTTTCACTACACTGTTTTGATTTTTCTTTGTGTGTATGGTGAATTTAACTTTCAACATAATCTTAAATCTGTGAAATAAATTCACCACTTGAACTTAAAGAAATCTAATCTTTTGTGGAAAATCTAAACCATAAACTGAAATTTATTTAGTCACACACGCTACTACTGAAAATACTATGAAATTGATAAAAAATAATAAAAAAATTTTATTGTTATAATTCATTGCTGTACGATTAAGACCTCTCTATTGAAAACAAGAGTTTATATTAAGAATTCAGTTTCTTTCGACAAAACGGACGTTAAAAGTCAATTTAATATGAAATTTGTATATACAGTCAATTTCCCATAATTCGAACTTCTATGACTTGAATTTTTTATAACTCTAACTAAAAACAGTCCGACAGGATTTTAGAGAGCAAATTACATGCAATTCTGCTTCCTCAACTCGAATTTCTCTATAACTCGAATAAAAATATAGTCACGTGTCAATAGGAATATGTGAAAGTGCATTCTATAAGTCGAATTTTGCTTTAAGTATGAATCAATTTTTGTGTTAGGGGAAGTCCCTTTTTCCAAACCAAATGTTTCAATTTCTTCTTTCTTAAGTTGCTGCTTTGTGCAAATGCTATTCGCTGGCAAACAGTAGTCAAACGATAGCGCACTGCTTTGAAAAGCTGGATTTGGCCAATTTTCCACATGGAACTAATAGAACGACAGTTCTTTAAGTTTCTGAAATAACATTGATGAAGACTGTCAATTTATGTAAAAGTGAAGTAAAAGTAAAGTAAGTAAAATAACGTTCAAGCTACTCTTAACCATTATATTATATTAAGCTTTCCTACAGATGACGATATTATTGAGTATTATAGCTCTGTATACATATATCTTACTATAGTGGATCCGATTCTAAGCACAACGGAAAGTGATGCTGAGGGTTCGGTGGATGCAATTGTTCATCAACTTTCCAAGAATGAAGTAGAAGACGAATGATACTACAACTGATGATCACTATAAGAGTTTGAATAATGTGGAATCTCTTTTTACTATAAATAAGAAAAAAATTAAAATTAGGGTTTGGGCCTAATTTCTTAAAATGTAATTTTAGTTTCTTTCAAAAACAAAAAAAAAAAATTCTCTAACTCGAAGTCTCCATAAGTCGAATCCTTTTCCTTGAAAAATGGTTCTTCGAGTTATGGAAGTTTAACTGTAATTGTCATTATCAAATAAATTTTTAAGTAAGTAGTATCAAGCAAAAAAAAATTTTTTTTTTGAATTTTTTAAGTAGTACTAAACAAACAAAGCACCCTTTATATAAATCAATGCTCAACTCAAACTTACTAACAACAACGTGAATTAACTTGTAAAAAACTTTGTTGAAGAAAAATTGTAATGAAAATAGTTTTCAAGTGGGAAAACTGCCATAAGATGGAGCATAATGTGGTTCTAATGTGAATTCCAAGCGAAAGGACTAACAATGGTTCTACCGTGTAGGTACATAGGCGTACATGTGTATACACAAGAAAACAAATGGTAGTTGGAAGTTTTTTTTCTTCTA